ACTGCTATGCTCCCTCCCACTGATGCCACCGTATGCCTGGGCCTCAGATGACAACCCAGGAGCCAGCAACAGGAAGGTGCTGGGTGCTTAGAGCAGACTCCATAAATGGAATATCCAGATCTTGCCCAGAAGTCCCAGCCACAGGGAATCAAAGGTTTAAAGTCTTGTAAGTGAGCATTGAGGAAGAGCAGGTGTCCTCTAGGAGGCCCTGTGATACCGTTTGACATTTGCATCCCCTCCTCCCCTCCCTCCTTCCCCACCCTGTCTTGTGACAATTATAACAATCTATCCTAAGTCTCGAGCTGTCTTCACACCACCTTTCTGGAAGGTTCCGGAGGGGGTTGCCATGTGTGCTTCGTAAGATGGCGAGCACGGGACTTTATCTTAATAAAATAACCATGGCTGTTCGCTTAAAATGAGTCTTGCTGTTTGAGAGTGTCCTTTCTTGCAGATGGAGGCTAATTCTCACAAATATTTTTGGTTAATTAGACGTCCTCTCTGAATAAACACTTTCTGCTCTGTTTTCATGGTGGCTAACAGTTTGTGGAACCGTTTTGACTTCCATTCGCTGAAGGTTGGAATACAATGTAAGTGATGAACAAAATGGACCCAACTGAGCTGTCCACCTGTTTAGCCCAACGGCCAATAAGGGGCTGGGTTTTCACTGGTGCTGGGGGAGGCTGGATGCGCAGGACGAGCTTGCCTTTTAGCCCCGAAGTTTCAAATGCCCTTTGAGACCGAGTTTAGTCACAAGCGTTTGTATGATTTCAGACCCTTTACCTGTGCCTTCGCCCCTCCCTACGCCCTCCGAAATTAGACCTCTGTCCACAGCTCTCTGCTGTCTGTCCGAAAATCTCCTGTCTACACAGATAAAGACAAATGTCTCCCTGCAAACCCCACTGGGAGTCATCACGATGAGTCTTGGCCTTTCGGTTTTAACTTGGTGACATACCTTGGCATTTCCAAACCAACCCTTTCTCATCCGTGTAAAGGGCAGCGTAAGATTCCCTGTGCAGATGTTGGGATCCCTCTGCCACCCTTCGAGGCCAAGGCTATGACAAACCTTGCTGGATGGGGGCACATCATTGCCTTAGTGATGTCTGCGCCTTCATAGCACATCCGAAGGGCGAATTCCTAGAAGGCTTGGCAGTCTCAACAAGCGTGCTCTTGTGTTGCAAGTAACACAGGATCCAGACTGGAGCAGAGTGCCTGTCTCAGTGCTTAGAACACTACTTCTTCCTGCCTCCACCATCACAGCAGACGCCCCAGGGATGGTAGAAACATGGCACCCCGTTCTGTGTAACGCTAGTGAAGCCAAGATGTTAAGCACCTTCTCATGAACCCAGTATGACGACTGACCTTGGGTGTCAACTTGACTACATCTGGCACCATCTAAAACTCAAGCTCCTTGGCAGGTCTTTGAGTTTCTCGATCAGATGATCTGAGGCAGAAAGAGCTATCCTAAATCTGGGCTACACTTTCTGGTGTCAGCCCACACAAAAGGAGATGGGTAGATGCTTTTGCTTTGGCCTGCTTGCCCTCACTCAACTCTGTGGCTCCTGTTGCTGTAGCATTCCTTTGCCCGTGTGAGAATCAACTTCTCAGGGATTCCAACACAGGCTGCAGAGCAGGAGCTCTCCAGAAATCCGCCAGGATGCCAGCACCAGATTAGGACTGTTGGGGCATCCGGTCTGGAGGACTGACTAGCCTTCTAGTCATGAGACAGCCATCGCTGGACTAACCAGACTTCAGTCTGTAAGCCGATCTAGTAAATAAATCAGTGTATGTGGGGGGGGGGGGTGCGGGTGTTATGTATAAGGCATTATTATATGGTTTATGTAGGCTTGTTCACATATATGCACATACGCGAATGTGTGAACAGAGGACAAAGGGTGATATTTTCTACCGCCCCAGCGCTAGGATCAGATACATGCCAAAGCTCCCGCTTTTCTCAGTGTTCTGGAGATCCAAGCTGAGGCCCTGTTATTGCAAACACTAACAAATGAGCCCTTTCGCCTTCCATGCCTGGGCTCCACACATCCGCCTGCTCATAGCTGCTGCTCCATCTCCTCACGGGGAAGATTTTCCTTAGGCTACTGTAGCGCTGCCCAGAATTTCCAGGTGTGAATTCAAAGCAGAAAATAGACATTCTTTCCCCTTTCGATAAAAGATGGTGCGGGGACGTGTTAAAAGCAGAGTCATCTCTGCACCCGAATAGTTCCTTGAGCAGCACTAACGTCGGCCTCAAGGGTGAGTGAGCATTTGAGCTATGTCCCTCATAGGCTCACATAGTTGAATACCTGACCACCGTTGGTGGTGTTTGGAGAGATGGTGGCGCCTCGCTGGGGAAAGCACCTCACTGGGAGTGGCCTTTGAGGATCCATAGCCTCTCACCCCACTTAAAGTTTTCTCTCCCTGGCCCTGCTCCTGTGTCTGCTGCTTGTCACCCCATCCCCTTACAGTCATTAGCTCTACCTTTAGATTCACAGATCCAGACGAACTCTTTCTTCTGTAAGCTGCCTTGGTCCTGGAATTCCATCACAGCAACAGAGAAGTTGCTGTTATTCTGTGGTAGCTGAACAGGGCTGGAGCTGGCTGGGAAGAGTCCCAAGCAGGCTGAGGGTCCTTCCTCAAAGAGACACCTCAGCTTCTGCCTTAGTTAGGCTGACTATGGCTGAGTTGACATGCCATGACCAAAGCAACATGGGGGGGGGGGAAGAAAGGGTTTATTTTATGTGCAGTTCCATCTAACGGTTCATCATCAAAAAGTGAGGGCAGGAACTCAAACAGGCAGGAACCTGGAGGCAGGAGCTGATGCAGAGACCATGGAGGGGTGCTGCTTATTAGCTTACCTAGGGCTTTCTCAGCCTGCTTTCTTATAGAACCCAGGACCACCAGTCCAGGGATGGCACCAACAACAACGGGCTGGGCCCTCCACCATCAATCATTAAGTAAGAAAATGACCTACAGGCTTGCCTATAGCCCTCCCAAGAACACAGGGCCCAATCCTTGCCCCTTGCAGTTCCTGGTCTGCCAGCCTTTGGAGATCCCTTGGGTGTACAGTACACAGAGAGAGGGCTGTACCCCTCCTGCCCTCTCTGCTCCCCCATTGTGAGACAGAACCCCAGCACACTGTAAGCTCCCAAGCCAGTGTAAATTCCCACCCAGGACTTTGCACAAATATCAGATCCTCTCAAACCCACATCCCAGTTACGTGGCCACACATCTGTGACTCTCCCCTTGACCAAACCTCCCACTGGCTTGACTTGTTACCTCTGAGATGCTACTGCCTGGGCTCCTCCAGGGAGGAAGAGAAAAGACTGATTCCCTAAGGGTATACCCATGGCCAATTTTATCAAGCCAGCCATGAGGGATAAGCTATGTGGAAAGTTAGATGTTCGCCCAGTGAACCTCTGCGTGTTTCAGAATAGTCAGTAACTTCTCACTAACTGTTCTGAAAATCTTTCCTGTAATTCAGAATCGTGCTGTACACGGCTAACCCTGCAAATGCTCACCTAGCATGCCACCCCTGCACAGGTGCACGCACCGTAGTCTCGCATCAGCTGATCTATCTACAGGAAGCAAGCTCACATGATCTGTGTAGATTACGACGGCAAAAGGCATCTCCTTTTCTCCCTGCCCTTCCTTTTCTTTTCCCACACGCAACTTCATTGAGTCACATATGACTGTATGTACAGATGTTGATATACCCAGGAAATGTATAGAAACTTAATGTTTGGCCTTGCAGACAAAACAGAGGGTGTGGGGACACTGATGGTACAGGAGACTCCAGGTCCTACTGCACCTGCTTGGCCTGGCCTAGTCCTATGCCACCACCAGCCCTACCCAGATGTGACCCACACTCTTGTCTTTCTTTTTTTCTGTCTTACCCAAAGGACATAGTTATCAATCTACAGAGAACTTGTTCAGACTATCCATAGACACAACCAGCATCTATTAATAGGGGACCATGGCAGAGAATCAAGGTCTGTCTGGACACCTGGGTGACCGAGGCTAACTTGGGAGCCTATTGTAGGATCCCACCTTTCTGGGCCAGTTTGTGACCAGGACACAAGTGTGAATCATGTTCATATGTGTGGACATGTTTGTGTATGTCTTAGAGATATAATATGCAAATCCGGTTTATCGTTGATATGTGTAATGTAGCCTATAGTATGTGATATGTGGTATGTGTGGGGTGTATGTGTGTGCTGTGTGTTGTGTGATGTAAGAGTACACACGTGTGCATACTGCATAGTGTGTCTTCATGAGCACGCTCTCCCTGCATGGTTCCTTGTATGTAAATCTGTACGCAATGTATACAAGCCTGCATGTGCAAAACTAAGCATGTATGCAAATTGTGTGTTGGAGAAAGGCTGCAGAGAAAGACATTTGACTGCAGATGCCCAAGTAGAGGTCATTGTATGGGAGGACACTCATAATTGGAGAAAACAGGCAGGAGGTACCACAACAGGGCCCTGATGTGAATGAATGTGTGGTAAGTATGTAATACACAATATGCAAACACAGTGGCTACAAACAGACATGAAACACACGATATACAGCAAGCCATGTCATATGCTGAGGACGAGGGCTAGGTCCTGCGGGTCTAGCATCGGTCCCAGGTGCTCCCAAACTGACATGAGAAGCCAGAATTCCTATCCTCCAGGAGCTGTGGGGAGAGGTCGGTGGACATGGACACTTCTAACCCACACACACAGCGGCAAACTGCCACCGAATACGAAAGCCACAGATGTGGTGAAGAGCAGAGTCCCACGCTGGTGTGGCCTTTTCCATTAAAAATGGTAATAAAGTCGGGGTTAACTTCACCCTTCCCTCCTTCACTCAGTCACCAACCCCCTGAAGTCACCACTGAAACAGTTCAAGTGTCAGTGACAGAGGAGGCAGGGCTTGGACTCTGGACCTTCTTGCCCAACCTATGGGAATGCAGCGGCTTAGACAGACACTTTACAGGACGATCTATCTGCCGGACCCAGAAAGCTCCACGCCCGGACCCTGCCCTAAGGAAACTATTCAGAGGAGCAAGAATGCCGGTGTGCGCAGGTGCCATTTTTACCGAGGTGGTGGTCGAGAACGCAGCGTCAGTCTTCAGCGTCTGAACAGCATAAGGAAGCTGTGTCACGTGACATGCTGATCCCTAAGAAATAACTGAACACTAGGCAAGACAGAGAAGACGTTCTTCCCAGATGAAGGTTGTTCCTAAACTCGTTCACTGACCTGACTCTCTAAATAGCCGTTCTCTTTCATCTTAAAGATTCTCAGGGAAACACTGTGTGCTTGGACTGTTTCAGTGATGATTTCCGGGGGCTGTTGGCTGAGTGGGATGCTGGAAGTAGGGTCTGGGTGCTGAGAATTTGTTCTAAGGAAGTGCCACATGCTTGTGCTTTGCTCTTTCCGTTTTTCACGGGAACAGCAGAGGTGCCCAATAACGAGGGATGTGTCAAACAGCAGACAGTCACCCAGCAAATGTGCTGCCAAATTAAAAGCCATGTGGCAGATTATGACATATGACCCAAAACTGTGACATGTTCTCCAGTGGCTTAGAGGAGTGGTCTGAAACACTGAATGATGAAAGCGATTTGCTAAATTCATTTTAAAGTTTCATTTTCCTTAATTTTTCTTATTATATAATAAAAAAATTCTTTGAACACACAAAATAAAAGTGTTCCTAGAGGTAAGCCTGATAATTTAAAGATAAAGACACCCAAGGGTTAAATGCTAAAACTAAAAACCTCTTAAAAGGAAACACTTGTAAACCTTCAGACCCTAGACTGCACACTAAGCCTATAGGTGTCCAAGAGCCTGGGTTAGGTAACAGTCCGAAAACACGACATCAGATGCACAATGGACAGTGAGGGTGGGGCCAGCAAGCAAACTGAACTTCACCCAAATTAAAGAAACTGAAGGCAGCCTTGGAAATGGGGGGGGGTTCAAATAATTTATCTGATAAGAGCTTGGTATCCAGAATTTATTTTTAAATCATTATATTATAAAGAAATATATTGTTTATGCAATATTATAAATATATTTTAATAATGGATAATATATACTAATGTATTGTAATTTTATATAAATAATGTTTACTAATATAATGAATATTATTAAGAATATTATCTTAAAAGGAGGAAAAGAAGAAAAGGAAAAAGATGAGGAGAAGTTGGAGGAGGCTAGAAAGAGAAATTGTCATTATGTGTAGGAGTAGGAGGAGGAGGAGTAGGAGGAGGAGGAGGAGGAAGAATAAGGGGAAGAATAGGAAAATAAAGAGGAGGAAGAAGGAGAGAAGTCCAATCCCAAGGAATGTATTAGTAGAGGGACCCTTAGCCCTGGGACACCACCACTGGAACAGGCAGCTCTCAGGTCAGGGGCAGCAGGGACACTGTGTCTGTGTCTCTGATTTCAGCCACAGGTCTGAGCTCTCTGTCCTAAAACACCAGGAAAACCAGTCCAAAGCTTATCCACAGGATGGTCAGGCAGCGCAGACACAGGATGCTATTACCAGATCCAACCTTCGGTTCCATTACCTATAAGAGGAGGAACCCAAGGCATAGAGACAGAAAGATACCAAACTATCCTGAGTCTGCACTCGGATGTGGCATTGAGGCCATCCACCAAATACCGAATGCTGGTTCCTGAAACTGCCCAAGAAACAGAGAGAATGTCTCTCATCTTATTTTCAGAGAAACCCCTACGTGTCTGTGCAGAGATTTTTCCCTTCGTTAGGACAAAAGAGAGTGGAATTTGTCTCTGGGTTTCTCCATCCTCAAAGATACTAAAGACAGGGTTCCTCCTTGTTTGGTCTGCCCGCACATTTTCTCAGAGAGGACCAACCAACTCATAGCTACCAACCATTGCACCTACATCCGAGGTGTTTGCGAAGTCACAGACAAGTGGAGAAGTTATAGACCTACCCCAGACACCATGGGCAGTAATAGCAGGCAAGTCCCTCCGCCTTGTGTAACAGGAAAGGACCACAGCTCTGTGATCCTTTGTGGAACCTGCACCACAGGACGGTTCGTGAATCAGGCAAGGGGCTGGACACACACACACACATACAGAGAGAGAGAGAAAGAGAGAGACGGGTCATCCTTGAAACAAGAATGCCCCTTTTATTGTGTTCCAGGGCAGCTTATATGGGGCTGTCCTTGACTAATGGCCATGCCCTAGCTCTCTGGATTTTTCAGCTGCAAACCCACCAGAAACCACTCTCCTGCCATCAGGAACTCACGAGGGTCTTGTGCTCAGAGCAGCTGCAAGCACAGGAAAACAGTTGTTTACTCCGGCAGGCAAGGGGTCACAGGAAATTCAGGCTCTGAGGGTCTGCAGTCCCCAACAATCCTTGTGCCCCACCTCAGCCACTGTTTGACTGCTCCTCCACTAGGACCTTGACCTGAAGAAACCCGAAGCCAGTTAGTACTGCCTGAAACCAACCGCATTGTTCCAAAGGCATCTTCCCACAAGCCTGATGCAGAGTTCTGTCTTTGGGGACCGTAGAGATGGGATCCTGTGCCCAGGTATCCTGGCAGAGTTACAGGAGAAAACATGCAAGTGAGCCCCCATGGGCCAGGCTCTCAGGGACAGCTTCAGAGACCCTGCGACCTCAGTGTCTGCAGGCAGGCAGAGATGGCAAAAACAGTGGGTGGACACGTTCCCAAGTGGGGCTAACGTCTGGAGGCATGCGTTTGCGAGTGGCGCAGGTAACAGACAGCCTGCAAGGAGTACCTCATCTGGTCATACACAGAGAGACTTCCTAGCCCAGGATGGACCCACAGGGCCAATCTCCAGTGGAAAGCTAGAGAAGTCCCAGGGATAGAAAACACTGAGAAGTTCCTGGTACAGGCAGCGTGTGTGGGACAGGGCCACAGCGTCTTCCTGCCGGCATGTCTCCCAAATCCTCACCCCACTCCTATCCTCAGAGCTCCCAGAGATAACCTCCAGGCTCGATGGCTATTTTATTCTGTTTTATTCTGTATGTTTTGAAGATAGGATCTCAGGTAGCCCAGGCTGGTCTCAAACTCATCTTATAGCCGAGGATGACTCGGAACTTCTGATCTTCCCCGCCTTCTCCTCCTAGGTGGCAGGGTTACAGCTGTGTACCACATGACCTGTTTAGGCCATGCTGGGGAGGATCGAACTTCAAGCTAGGTAAGTGCTCTGCCAAGTGAGCTGCATCCCTGGTCCTCTGGGGCCTTTTAGATTTCACACAAACACTGTAGCACATCAGTCTCAGAGAACCCCTACAAGGTCAGGATTATCACCCCCACTTCCAGATGAAGAAACTGAGGCTGAGGCGGGATCAACATGTGTCCAGCCTGCCCAGTAAGTTGGAGGCCAAAGAGAAGCTCCCAGCTCTGTGGGCTTCCAAAGCGGCTCTCAAGCCCCTCCCTTGTCCACTATGGGCTGAAAGAAGTTGATTCAATCACTGCAAACAATACCCAGGACAAAGACGACAGACACATCCTCACTCTTAGAGATCTGTTCTTGAGCTCACTCAGGGCAAGTGTAGCAAGGCTAGGGCTGGGTCTCACGGGGACAGCCATCCCTGACCTCAGGACCTTCCTCATAGCCCAAGAACTTTCTTTCACACATGCTCTCGCTCCCCACTACTCCGTGTGTGTGCGTGTGTGTGTGCGTGTGTGTGCGTGTTCCCTCCCTCCCTGTGACCTCATTTAAGCTCATTGCCATCCACAACCCCATTTCTGAACACCACGACATGTTAATTAGGGTCCAGACTTGGACATAGGAATGAAGAGACACATTTCAGTTGCTTAGTGTTTCTTGACTTCAGAACTACGACATCAGAACCCAAAGCCGATCTTCTGTGCTGTCCTCAGCAGCTTCCCTCAGCTTCTTTACAAGGTGCAAGCTAGAGAAACCTCACGAAGACTCTAAGGGACATTCCTAGTCCCCCACCATGCACTAAATGCCACCACCAGCTCTTTGGAGGGTGCCAACATTTCAGAATTGGCAGACACCCGCCACCCCAGCCCCGGCCTACTGATGAGGTTACTGTCTGGCTAATTTTGTTGTCTCTGCCCCCAGCTGGTGCCAAGCAAGAAGCTGAAACTCTCACAAGGCTGCATGAGCCTTTGTTGTTTCTGTTCAGCTGCCCTTTGACCTAGGCAGATGGACATCTCTGCAGGAAAGATCAAGGTAAAGCATCCCCTTGAGGGCCTCTCCTAGAGGCAAAACCACCCTGAATTCCCTACAGAGAGGACAACTTTGGTATGCAATTGCAGAGAGAAAGCCTGCTGCAGGAGGAGCTGCCCCCTCCCTGATCCTGGGCCACGCAGAAGCCATAAAGATGGCAGGTGCTGACCTGAGGTTAAGGGAATTCCAGAGGAAAAGTGTGAGTTCGCCTCAATGGCGGTCCCTGCCTTCACTCCACACAGATCAGGACTCTGTGCCTTGAGGAATTCCAGCCATTGGGTATCCTCAGAAGGTGTTCTGGGTCCCATGACCAGCAGTCACTGATTCTTGCAAACACTCACAATAAACACGTCAGGGGATTTGTCTTCCTTGGGCTATCATCCATCTCAACCTTGAGTGTATGTTTAAGGAGATTATACAGCTTTATAAAGTGGAGGCTCGGACACCTTGGTAAAGACAAGCAGCCGCTCCAACCAGATCTGCTGGCACAGAGATGGTAAACCCGCGCACTCAGATAAACTCACCCAGGGGGCTTCTGTGGGGGGCTGTGAAAGGTGTCAGCACACCACATGACGTCCAGTGGGAGGAACACAGGCCTCCAGCTGACAACTGAAAAACAAAACACTTAGCCGCGTGACGGCACACACCTTTAATCCCAGCACTCACGAGGCGGAGGCAGGTGGATCTCTTTGAGTTCTAGGTCATGAGACCAGGACAGCCAGGGATGAAGAGAGACCCTGCTGAGGAAAACAAAACACTGGCAGTCTGTATTGGTCCTAGAAGTTTTTATTATTCTCTTACACCCTGAATGGCATTGAATAGGGAATCCACGGAGCCCCCCCTCCCCCCATCTCCGCTGTATGAATAAGAGAAATTTGGTGCGGATCTCATAACGTAAGGAAGCGCATGACAGGAGAGAATGCCTGTTCCGGTACTTTCAGAGATGGGTGCTGATCAGAAAGGACCAAATGCAGTTAGGAAGCAGGACTGAATCCCAGAGTTCTCCAGAACAGCCAGCAACTGGGTTTACAACGACTCAATACATATTACCTAAAGAAGCAGAATAGAAAGTGGGAGGATTCCCAGTACAAGGAAATGATAGATCATTTTCCCGCTTCGGTCATTATGGAGAGCATGTTCGCTGAACGGCCACACCGCATCCTCCAAGTGTATCATGATGATATGTCGACCACAAAGTTTTAAGTTTCTTAAGAACCTGGAAAAAATAATCACGCAGCTCTCAGAAATAGTTAAACCTAACATTCACAGCGGGGAAAACCACCTCCAGCAGCCTGGCATTGCCAGTACAACCCAAATCAATGGATGCTCCCATGTTCCTGCAAGGCAAATAACACAGGAGGGTCCTGACGCTGAGCACCCCGGGAACTGCCGAGACCTTACAGTCCCTAGCTGCCCCTCTGGTGCCACTTTTACTGTTTTCTAGGGAAGAACATAGACTAAGAATCTGAGCAGTCAGATACCTGAACAAATACACGGTGATAGGCTTGAAGCAGTGAATATGACCGTCCTCCCTGGAGCACAGGGCTGGGGCGGTGGGAGGGGGGGCTTGGGTCCTGCTGAGACCCCAATGCCTGGTTCTCATTGCCCTGATGGAGGAAGCCTTTCCCAGTGGGCACCATGCAGAAGCAGGTGAGCTTGGCTCTCCTGGATAGAGCCCAGGGCAGTTTCCACCCTCCCTCACCACTGCTCATAAAGCTAGGGAGTAGCAACTACCCTGGGGCTTGTTTTGTTTTTGTTTTAGAGCCGGCTGGCCATTGCAACCCTAGGGATCCCCAAGTCTCACGCGGGCTTTTCGCTAGCCAAAGCCATGCTGGCCAGACCAGCTTCCTTTATTCACAGGCCACAGGAGGGGTTTTGAGTCCTTGCTGAAGCTCCTCTCCCCCTAGTTGGTTTATTTTGGCTTTGATCATTAACAGTATCTGGATCTAGAATTACCCAGAACAGAAAATGCCTTTGTGCTTCTCAAAAAGAAAAACTCCAGACACCTTCCTGGAGTGCGAGAGCTGTGGGCTTGGGAGGAAATGCTGGGGTAGATGGGACTCTGCTCATTCCCTGTGCTTCTGGTTGAGCCTGCATCCTGCTGCGTTGGCCAGTCACTGGGGATCCTAATGCTTTCTGGAAAATACTGAGAGGCATCAACACTCAAGCTGGGCCCTGTATACAGGCCTGTCATTCAAACTAGTCAGGAAGCTGAGGCAGAGGGATGCCAAGTTCAGTGCCAGGTCAGCCAGGGCAATGTAGTAAGACTCTATCTAAAAGGAAAAGGTGAAGAAAGAGCACAGCTGGGGACACAGCTGGAGAGGCTCTGGACGAGCGCATGGGCTCCAGACACAATGTCCAAATAAACTCTTCACTCTTTTGGTTGATGTTCTCAGATCTTCCACGGCAAGGAAGAAAAGGAACAGATCTGCCAGGCCACGGTTGGGTCACATCAGGCTGCAGAGTTGGTCAGAGAGACGTGCTCTGGAAACAGCCATGGGAAGGAAGATCTGTCCTCAAACCATGTACGCTGACTCCAGGGAAAGGTTACAGAGAGGGGACTGTCCTTGGGCTCTCCCAAGGGACTGCCATTTTTCCGTGTGTCCACTGGCTTCCTTGGGACAACAGTTAGCGCCAAAGCCAAACTCTCTAGCCATACCCAGAATAAGCCAACAGCCCACTGGAAACAGGGGGCCTTCCACAGAGATGAGAGAGTGGCTCTCCTCACCTTGTGAGCCTGGTAGAATATCACAAAATGTTGCCCATCAAGGGGCTCAAACGCAGCAGCTTGCAGAGTTCAAATGCCAGTTTCCAGGGAGGCATGAAATAAAGGCCCCAAACAAGGTAATGCTTTCTGCAAACGGAACCTTCCCCATTCTAGGGGAAGCCTGCTTCAAGCCTTCAGGTTGCGATGCAGAAGTAACTCCTAAACCTAATCTTGCAGGCTGCTTGCTTCCTAAAGACACCAGACCTACAAAGCCTGCCAGGTCAGCCCTCCAGCCTGCCACCATGGCTCCAGCCATGACTCACCTCCTGGGTGTTTTTCAGAACAAAACCTGGGCTCCCTATTATTTAGGACAGAGCTGGCCCACTAAGAAGTGTCTTTTCTGAGGTGTGATGGAGGTGGTGCACCTCTGCAGCTAGCCACTTCGCAGACATATGGCCCGCTATCCCACCAGTTAGGAAGTGATTATTGGAACGGCACAAACAGATTTTTTTTTTTATCAAAGTAGAGGTGTGATTCTCTCAGGTTCCGTGAGAACAAACACACATATTTTTACCAACCCAATCTGTTTTACAGCAGCTGATGGCTGCAGGGCCTGGGAGCCAACTGAGACGATGGGAGAGTCACACAGGTGAACTCTAGGGACTACGAGGAACCTGGAGGGAGATGAAGCCCAAAGCCCACCTGTCCTTAGGGACCATTAGCCACCCATTCCCTCACCTATGACAGGACTGAACATCACAAACGTTCCTTGCCTGGGGCTGGGCTTATGAGCCAACTCCTGATTGCTAGTTGAGTTCTAGAATCCCTCTGAAATCAAAGGTGAGGCATGCTGGAGACAGCAATAAAGACTCAGCGCATTCCTCCCCTGCCAGGGAGGACAGAAGAATGCTCTTGTTTTTCAAGGTAGATCTATGGGATCTGATAAGGCGGAGGTCACCAGCACTGCAGGGACCCATTTACCTTTTTTTATGGAAACTGCAGTTTCAAGATCACAGTCCCAGTGGCTACAGAGGGGCTCTTGTGTAGACAGAGCAACTCTGCCGTCTCAGAGGATCCTGCTGGACAGAAATGGTACAGAGCCTCCGGGGATTTTGAGGAAGGCAGTGGCAAAATGCTGGGAGCAATTGAGTTTTTCTGAGCTACCACCAGGCTGAGGCCAGGTGTGAACACCTGCCCTGTGTTACTGCAACAGGAGGTGTGCACCAGCCTCAGACATTCTTCTATCTATCTATCTATCTATCTATCTATCTATCTATCTATCTATCTATCTATCTATCTATCTACCTATCTATCTTTCTCTCTCTTTCTCCCCCCCCCGTGTGTGTATGTGTGGGTGTGGGTGTGTGTGGGTGTGTGTGGGTGTCTGTGCGTGTGTGTGTCTTCTCACTCACTCCCCCAGTGCCCCCTCCAGGCCATTAAACAACAGAAAACACCTTGATTGCACCCAGGGAGACTATGTCATATTCCTGAATATGAATATACTTGACTCTCTGACTGGACTGGGAAAGAAGTTTGGACTAGGGCAAAGGGCACAACCCGAAATTTCTAGAGTCAAAACAGGACGGGCAGCCACCTCACCTGAAAGCTCCCATCCCTGATGAGCAAGCCATGCAACTTCCCCTGAGCCTCAGGTTCCTGGTCTCTAACATGAGGAGAATGAGGGTGTTAACCCCACAAGTAAACTGGGAACAAGACAAAGAGGTCGGGACACACATGACTTCTTCACGACAGGGTTGCCTTCCTCATCACTTCTGTTGGCAAAACAGTCATTTCCCCTCGCCCCAGAACTCCATAATCTGACTGAGCCATCTCCAGCTCACGGATCTGATTCTGCATGTTTCAGCAGGCCATCCATGGTCCCAACAGCCACACTTTTTTTCCTTCCTTACAGGAGGAAAGAAAAGGAATGTCTCTGTCCTCAAGAGCCAGACTGAGGGCTCACGTATTTCCTCATTATTCCACTACACACTTTTGAGGACCCACATTCTAGATGGGGGGACAGACAATCGGCGAGAGGCTTGGTACATAAATAAGTTACATAGTAGGTTAAAGATCATACAGAGAAGAGGCGTGAGGGAAGTAGGAACGGGCGGAGAGCGCCGGAGGCAGGTTGAACATTAAATGGATTGTCAATATGAGCCTCACTGAGGGAGGGGAGCTAGAGAGGATGTCTGAGGCAAGCCCACCCCAGGGGAAGAGGCAACTGGGCGTGTGCCTAGAAGGTCCGCAGATGTCTCTGCCACCCAGACTTCATCCTTGCGTCTTAGTCTCAGATTCTGACCTGGGCATCTAATGGCACCCAGCATGGGTCCAAGTCCCTTCCCAAGCTCTCCAGACACTATCTACAACCCCATCCTTCAGAGATATTCAGCCTCTTTAGGGAGACCCCCCCCAAAAAAAAACAATTCTACTCTGGGAGCTCTATTTATACCACCGCCCAGCTCTGCTCACATCCCGATCATCCTGCAGGACTCATTTCCTCCAGGAATAGGGTTTTTCCCGTCATTCCCAGACCATCACTGGCCCAAGTCCACAGCCGCCTCCTTCTTGGGTGCTGCATAGGACCAGGCCGCACAGTTAATCACACACAGCCCCTCAGTCTCCACCACTTGCCTTGCTGCCCTGTTCTCAACCATTCCCCTCTGTTCCTCAGGTCACTGTGTTTTCTGACGCTACCAGGAACAAGCAGTGGGACTGGATTGCTGACAGCCCTAGGAACTACAGGCAGCAGCGTAATCTGGTGTTTGGACAGTACCTGGAAATGGAGAGCTTGGTGGGCAACTAAGCAATACAGCCAGGAGAGCAAATAGCATCCCTTACTCTCTCTCTCTCTCTCTCTCTCTCTCTCTCTTTCGAGGACCACATTCTCCTCAGCACTGTCTCCCACCCTCCTTACTCACAAACCTCCATGTTCCAGCCCTGCTCATACACAGCCTCACCTGCCTCCCGCACCTCTCTAGTAAAACTGTGGGAGCCAAAGGCAGGTTAAGGTACCCAGGGAGCCTTAACCCTGTGCCGGGTCGACCAGTACTTTCCAACCATTGCCAATTATCAAATTATGTTCTTACTTAAACTCTCGTGAAGAGCCGCAGGAAACAAACCAGAGAAGTGGAGCCAGACTGACTGAAGCGAACATAGGGCCCGCTGGGGTACACCAGCTTGCGCCCCGCCCAGTGCAGCCCGCGGCTGTCCCTTAGCCAGAGCCAGATGGACCCACCAGGCACTGTACCAGGAGCAGGGAGGGTACAACTCTGCTGGGTCTGAGGCCTCTACCATGGAGGGTGACAACAAGGCCCTTGGAGGAAGTTACTAGAGCCAGAGTTGACGAACTAATGTGTCCGCCTGACTATCATCTGTCAGTCTGTCTGTCTGTCTGTGAGAGCGCATGAGAAGGCGCACGTATGTGTAAGACAGCAAAGCCGGTTGATGTGCAATTTAACTCCACAAGGCCATGGCCACAGTCATTTCACCAAGTGGCCATAAAACTAAAAGATAAAAAGGATAGCCCCAAATGACAAGGATTTTTCTGAGCAGGGAGTGGCGATAAGAGCTTTGGCTGTGACCTGAGTCAGGCTCACGGCAACCCAGGCAGGTGGGCAAACAGAGAGCAGTCCCTGTCCCCCTCAGCTGCCCCATAAAATCAGGTCCTCAAGGCTCAGGTCAGGGCCGGGTCCCCATGCCCGGCCCTGATCTCTATGGCAGGGAGTGGTCCTCAGCTCATGGTGGAGGGTTTCCTACCACGACATGAGGATTTTACCCTCAGTCCCAGTAACTGGAGAAGGTGAGCCCAGGCTTCAGTTACCCTGAGAGCCTCCAGACTTGGGGGATCTGCCTCACAGACAAGCAGAGGGAGAAGAGTTTGGATGGCTTCCTGGGTGACCCAGCATGGAATGTGGAAACCATAAGCTGGATTCCAGGTCTCCCTGTAGGGCCATGCTCGCTTGGCCTCATTCCACCCCAACAGATTCGGTGATACCAGAGTCACCAAAGGCCACTCTCATGGCGAGTTCATTATCAAGCCCAGAAAAAAAAATGTCCTTGACATCCTCAGTTGCCTTGTTAGCAAAGAAAGACCAGTCTCAGGCGCGGGGCCATCACAGTGGCCAAGCCACATTGCAAGGTCAGTCAGAACATGGGGCAGCTTTTCGTTGGGTGGAAGCGATGAGGAGGGCAGCACATCCCCCCCCCCCCCGCCCCACGATAGCCGCTTTCCAAAGACCATTCAGAGGTTCACTGTGCTCTCCTGGCTAGGTGAGCCACACAGCGTGGCCTCTTTCCAACCTCGGGCAACACCCATTCCCGGCTGTGAGTGCCTGGGATCCCACTGAACTAGTAGCTGCTGTCACACAGCCAAACACAGGACGTTTCCTTCTTCCCATTTTTACTGACAGGAAGCCTCAGACTCCGGAGAGTGTTAAGAGCTACCGGTGTGTATGTGCTTCTTCTAGCAAAGCCAGAACCGAAGACTTCACCCTGGCCCAGCCAGGCACCCCTAACCCAGATGCCCAGAGGTTTCTCAAGGGCACCCAAGTCACGGAATGCGGCCATGTCATTGGGGGAATCCCACAGTTTTGTCCAAAGAATTCTCCCTCTTAGTGTTCAGAGCCATCCCGTCCTGGTCTGGGGGCGGGGGTGGGTATAGAAGTGTTCAAAATCAAGGAGAGTTGTGAAGATCCCGTAGGTGCAACAGAGTATGCCGCCGAGAGCAAGCTCGGAGGGTCACCCTGTCTAGCTTGTCAATAGCAGGAAAGACGGTAAGAGGGCCAGCGGGAGTGGGGGTGACAACTGGTACGCTCTTAAGCTTCTGCCTTTGCTAACTCAAGGTCAGGCCTGTGTGCGGTGGCTGGTACCTTCTCAGGAGCCTGCTGATGTACAATCATCTTACCTGCTTCACAGACGAGGAAACTGCGGCCCAGAGAGGACCCTCACAGGCGCCCTCACCCTGCTGACAAAAGCCCAAGGGCGGTTGACATCTCTGTGAGAGAGGGAGGCAGGAATCATGGGACCAGCTGGGACAGGGAAATCCTGGAGAGAAACCCTGCTCTGTGTCCCCGCATGGACAGCAGGGCCACCCCGGGACTTCTTTAATAGTCTCCCTCTGAGAGAACACATCAGAGCAGCAGCCCAAAGGTGTCTGAGATCACAGCCTAGGTGGGGCCAGGAGTTCCCAGGGCAATGGCTCTCAACCTTCTTAACGCTGTGACCCTTTAACACAGTTCCTCATGTTGGAGTGACCCCCCCAACCATAAAATTATTTTCGCTGCTACTTCCTAACTGTATCTTTGCTACTGTTACGAATCATAATGTAGATATCTGACAAGCAGGCTATCTGATAGGTGATGACCCCTGTGTGAAAGGTCATTAGGACCCCAAAAGGGGTCACGACCCACAGGTTGAGAACAGCTGTTCCAGAGGCTCCTGCCCCAGCTTCGCAGATCCTGGCAGCCTGAGGTGTCATGGCTGCTTTGCTTTGATAACGCTCTACCCACCAGAGGACTAGGGTTACCCGCTTTTCCTGCTTTAATTTTGCAAACATGAGCCTGTAATTATATCTTGCTCTGAGATAGGAATTTCCCACAATTCCACTCACTCAAGTGCATCTCAGAAAGGTGCAGAAAGCGAAGCCAGAGCACCAACCATGGATGGTCATCAGCAGCATGGGGAGAGGGAGAACTGGCCATGCTGGGGCGGGATGTCTGAGGGGCAGGTGTCCCTGCCACAGGAATGGAGGAACTTCACTCTCTGAAGGAGCGGCATCAAGTCCCAGGTAGATGACGGAGTCACCGTTGCCTCTTTTGAGGGCCTCAGGTGGACATGGGCCTGGCCCATGATTCCAGGTTACAGTTCATCACGTCAGAGACATCAGGGCAGACACTCAAGCGACTGTTGAATCACATCCATGGTCGGAAGCAAAAAGAGAATCAAGGTCCTGGCTTGCATGGTGCTTAAGCCCAGCTAGGTTTCTTTACTCTTAATTCAGGGGCAAGCCCATGAAATGGCGCCATCCAAATTTCAGCGCAATCAGCCCAGACGTACCCACCAACCAATCTGATGTCGACAAGCCTTCATGGATTGTCCTTCTCTCCCCAATTTTAGACTGTGTGGGTTGATACTTAAAGCTGGTCATTGCACTGCCACATTCATATCTTCATAAACTGGGGTCCATATCCTAGGGACAGGTCTTACCAAAACCATCTACGTCTGAGCCAGCTCAGCCTCAGCCTGTGGCTAGTGTGGCTGGGAGGTAAAAGCCCCGGGAGGCCCACTGGGGCTAGCATCTGTAGCATGGGAGGTTGCTTGGTTCCCTGCTGCTCAGCCCTGAAATAATCACACAGAAACTGTATTAATTAAATCACAGCTTGGCCCATTAGCTCTAGCTTCTTATTGGCTAACTCTTAACCCATTTCTATTAATCTGTATATCACCACGAGGTTGTGGCCTACCAGCAAAGTTTCAGCATGTCTATCTCCGGTGGCAGCTCCATGGTGGCTCCCTGACTCCGCCCTTCTTTTTCCCAGCATTCAGTCTAGCTTTCCCAACATACCTAAATTCTGCCTGGCTATAGGTCCAAAGCAGTTTCTTTATTCATTAGTGGTAATCACAGCACACAGAGGGGACATCAAGCGTCCTTTATACTCGGGGCTCCAAAATCACCAGGATAGTGCCTCTGCTTAGGTTTGTACCTCAGCTCCATGTCCTCCTGGACCACTGATGAAATACAGGGGGACAGTGATAATGACAATAGCCACACAGGCAGAAGGAGTTGGCCCACCCCACCTCCCTGCAGCTGTTATCTTTGAAGAACAGATGTTTGGGGTTAAAATAAGGTACCAGCCCTTCTTTTTAAAACTCTAGGTTTGGGACTCATTTCTTGACATAAGAGGAAAAGCTCTCCAGGAGGTTCCTACATAAAGCAAGACTTAGAACCCAGGCTCTTGTCCCTTTAAGACGCTCCCCTGGTGGGTGTGCATCAGGAGGCTACAAAGTGTTGCCTGTCACCTCTGGGTTTTTTTTTAGGTGTGTGAACATCCAGAAGTCAGCATGGTTCTAATTTCTACCTGGCGGTTGGTATAAAGAATTTTAAACTGAGAAATGTGTCAGCTCTGGGTCTCTCTCCCTTTCTCCCAAGTGCCATAGTACTGGCACAGAAGCCCCTGGAGGTCTGCTCTCTCTGGGGGTATGAAACCTCGGCAGGCACCGCCCGTGGTCCTTGTTTCAGCCAGAGGACCCTATGCCTGTAGGTCATACCCATGTCAAGGAGCCGAGCCATTGGTATTCCTAGAAGACCTGTTCTAATAACCCCCAAGCAAATCCCTACCTCCTAAGGCTGCCCCGACCCCCGCACTGCCCAGGGAGAACCTGGCTAGTGGCTGGTGTGGCCCTCCTCACTGCTTAGGGGCACCTTCACTGCCTGGTACCTCCTGGCTACCCATTATGAGTGGGAAGACCATTCCCTTCTACTGCCCAGACAGCAGAAGAACCCAACCCCATGGACAGTCTGGCTCTAGCTTTTGGCCTCATCGTCCACTTTATGACTTCTAACCAACTACCCATTTTTACATTCCTTCCTGTCTCTGAATGAAGAGTTATTACAGAGACCTCCAAATCAAATATCTGTGAAAAGAGGTGATACATTGGGATAATAAGTCAGCAAGTGAATGCTTGTTGAATCCTAGCTGACCTCAAACTCGCAGAGCTCCACCTACCTCTGCCTCCCTTGCACCAGGATTAAAGAGTGCACCACTGTGTCTGGCTCAGACTTACACCTTTAGGGGCTCAGAGAAACAGGATTTTTGTATAAAATAACAGAAAACATTCAAATAAATGGGATTTGCGTGTAGTTCTACCGATTTCAAAATTGAGTCCCCAATTTTGTTTTTTCGAAAACACTTCATCTGAGTGTTCCCATTCTGGGCAAGCCCACGTGAATAAGGTTTTCTAGCCCTTTCCTATGCCCACAGGTCCAGACTAAGGTCCCCAAAAAGACAGAGAAGGACCTCACAGCTGGAGCAGAGAGGGACTTGGGAGGGGCCTTGGGACTGGGACCATTTGACCTGGAAGTGGGAAGGTAGAGATTTTTCCCAGGTAGCCTTTGCCCTCCACCTTGGACACTGACGTTGTGCCCTGTGGTTTCCCCAAGACTTCCCAGAACATTCACTAACTGTGATGACTCACAGGCATCTTGGTGGTGGTGGGGTGTCACACGTCCTCTTCCTGAGCCCCATGAATCCTTCACTCAGGTCAGTTGTGCAGAGGTGACAAGCCACCTGGAGTCTCTGAGACTCAGCAAGCCAAGTTACCCAGGACACCTAAGGGGTGGAGACCACAAACGTGTCAGCATGGTAGACCCCACCTCACGGCCGCGGTCTCCTGGCAGAAAAGAACAAGACTCACACCTCAACACAGCTCATGGTCCAGAAGACCAAGACTTTCTTATCAGGACCGCCAGCCCGCAAATAATGACACAGAGTCTTCTAATTAATTATGAAAGCTTGGCCTTAGCTTAGGCTTACCCCCAACTAGGTCTTATGACTTAAATTAATCTGCTTATATTGATCTACATTCTGCCATGTGGTTTGTTCACCTCTTCTTTATTTCTGTATGGCCAACTTGTTCTGCGTCTCCTGCCATCTCTCTGCCTGTCTTCTTCCCAGAGTTCTCTCTCTCTCCCCCAGAAATCCCACCTATTCTCTCCTGCCTAGCTATTGGCCGTTCAACTTTTTAGTAAACCAGTCATAGGGACACATCTTCACACCGTGTAAAAAAATATTCCACAACAGGAAATGTTCTGCCGGGCACCAGCAGTCCTTGGAAGCGATCATTTCTTCCACGGAATATGTCACAGGCGGAAAGTGGGCTAGGAGAGTTAGGACACAGCCCTCTACCCAGATCCCATGGGAAAGGCACTAAATTTCCCTGCAATCCAGACCCCAGGGATATCCTGAGGACTCCTCTGAGGTGGCTGGAAGCAGGACTAAGAGTGTGGCTAGAAGTTCTGAGGGGTACCCAAGGACCTCCAAGTACATGCACCTCGGATGCAAGTGGCATCCCTCAGACACAGTCACAGAGTGAGGATGGCAGGCACTTGTGTAAAGATACAAAATGGTTAGGAAGCCTGAGACCAGGACAGGGATTCTGCCATCTCAGGGTATGTGGGGAAGGGATAGGATTGGAGAATGGTGCCCTTTGCCTCTGCCGCCCAGAGAAATGAAAGCCGTTCATTGAAGGAGTGGGCCCTGGGGACTCGGCAGCTCAGCAACTCACAGGGAGGGACTTCTACCCTCGAGCCCAGCTGCCCCCATCATAAAGGCCTTTAAGAATGGCTTCAAATCACAGAAGGCCACCCTCAAACAGGACAGCTCCTTAAAAGTCCTCAGCTGGTCTCACTACCTGTAGGAAAGGACCATCTGCAACCACAAGCTGTCAGATAGGTACTGGTAGTCACCTGGACTCAGAAAATTCCCTGAGACAGGGACAGAGCCAAGATGGGAGCCACCCTGCACTTCCTGTCCAGAACCCTGCATCTTCTTCCCAGCTTCTGGGGGCCCCGGAAGTCAGGGCAGCTGTGGGGGCTCACACAGGAATGGGAAGCAGAGGCAAACGTCATGATGCAGCTACCCTTTCCCGCTGCCCAACCTCTGAGCGCCGACGTTTTCCCACTGGAGAAGCACAAATCTGCCCGCCTCGCCAGAGACTGGTTCCCTCCCCTCAGCTCATGCCCTCATTTAAAATGAAGCCAAATGCTTTTCCTAACCAGCCTCACTAGTTTCCTGTCCTGGCAGCTGCCAAAACTCAGGCCGTGTGGGGCTTCCTGTCACTTCCCTTGTGGGCCACATACCAATGGGGTAGGCACAGAGTGGGGTCAACTCCAGGGACCCTGCACCAGCCCGGGCCAGCCACGGTAGCACAAATAGTTTAATTATTAATTCTTTCCCCGTGGCAGCCAGACTCCCACACAGACTCGTGAGATCCTAACCCCTTCATCTCATTCAACATAACTCGGCCGCCCACAGGGTGAGAGGACCAGCGTGCTTGGGTTCTGAATCACAACTTCATGTAGTTTTTCGATCCTTCCGGGCCTTCTTTGTCAGGAAAATCATGCTTGCTTTGTCTGTCGATTCCCTTTGGAGGCCATGTTGCTACTTGGATGTCTCTGATCGCCCTCCTCTAGCCCCCACCTCCCTCTGTCACCCTTGAGTCACTGGGGCCTTCTCTGTATCATGACCCTGAACAGAGCAGTGTTGAGCTCCCAACCCTGATGGTCTCTAAAACACTCCCCTCCCTTGAGTGCTTAAGGAAATTGATGATTCTCTCGCCTCCTCTGGGTACCACTGTGCCACAGGAATAATCATGCCCTTCATCCTCACGTGTCCCTTGATGAGCTAACACCTTAAACCACTCCTGTACCTTTGCTGTTTTATTTTCAATGCTCCCTATCACGCAAGTGACATCAAAGTTCAAGTCTCTCGTTGTCTTTAACACCAGTGGCCTCTGGCTCCAGTATCTGTCCCATTCTGGTCGTTCTGAAGGTCCCAGCAAGCAGAAGGTACGTTACCCCTACCCCCACCTCCCTGATCATGGTTTCTCCCTCCATCAGTGACCCCACTTCTCAGGCACAGCCTTGGCTGTGAGAGCCACCCCTCCCTCCTGAAGATCCCCCTTGGCCTCATGCTCTCCTTCCAAGCCCAGAGAGTATACTACACTCCCCACATGGCCCTGCAGCTGGATGGACACAGCATCTTCCTGCCATCTGCAGCATTCCATACGCAGGAAAGGCAAGCCCGGGCCTCTGTGGGTCTGCTTGCTTGGCTGCTGTAAATAGGAAACAACAGGAACCAACTTCTTCACATCTCTGTGCTCAAACTGCTAGGCTGGGATGTCCTGGGGCTGTGCTCACTCTGAAAACTCAGGAGAGGGCCCTTCATTACCCCTTCTCATCTCTAAGTGGGCCAACAGTCCTTGGCTTGTCAATATGACATTCCAAACTCTGTAACCATCTTTGTGTGGTATGATCTGTGTGTGTCCATGTCCCTCCTTCCTATAACGACACTAGTCACTGGATTATGGCCCAGGCATAAAATCTCATTCTATCTTCATGACTTTATTTGGATACAGAGGATATATATTTATTTGGATATATCTGTATCCAAATAAAGTCATGTTTTCAAAGGCAGAAGATTAAGACTTGAATGTGAATGTGACCACTGGAGGAATATGATTGTACCATGTCTCCAGCTGTGCACCTTGGACACACAGCTGGATCCACCAGGTCTAGGCTCTCTAACCTGAACACTGAGGCTCTGAAGAGGCAGTAGAAGCAGCCGGTGGGAACTGGGACAGCACCCAGGACAGACTTCTTCCTCGTGTTGTACTCTTGCAGGTGGGACACGAAACATAGCTGCTGCGTTCTCCCCTCCCTTCCTCCTCCCGCCCATTCTCTCCCCTTTCTCTCTCCCTCGCTTTTCCCCTCACCTTTACCACTGCCCCAATCCTGAAAACATACCACACTGAGGTGACAACATGAGGCCAAATCCTGGCCTATGCTAACTTCTAGTTTTTCTTTGGGAAGGTGGGGACAGAGGCAAATGTTTGGTGGCTTCCTATAGCACTTTCCACCTTGCTTTTTGAGACAGGGGCGGTCTGTTCAGGAACCAGGAACTCACTGACTGACGACTGGCCAGAAGCCTGTCTCTGCCTCCCTCATGCTGGGATCACAAGTGTGCACCGGACGTTTTACGTGGGTGTTGGGGATCTGAACTTAGGCCCTCATGCTAGTCCAGCCAACAATTCACTCATTGAGCCCCCTGCCCAGGTCCTAAGGAATCACCGCATATATGCTACTTTGTAACATACACCGATTCTCATGAACCTTATCAATTGTTCTAAAGCAATGAAACCTCTGTGGGAAGTTTTTGTGGAGCCCAGGACAACAGAGTACTCCAGTCCTGAGGCCTGAGTACCAAGCCCCATCACTGCAACCCCTTGCATGCCATGCCACCTCTATGGTTCAGTGTCTCCTCTACGAGGGAAGAACACAGCTCTGGGGGTGAGCCTCTAGAGAAAGGCCACAGCAGACTCAGGGCTATTGTGTGTTCATTCCCATCAAGTCTCCTGACTTCCCCTGTTTCATGCAATGTAAATAGAAGTAATAGAGGCAATTTAAGCCAAACTTGTTTACATTGTTCAAAACTGAAGACCCATAGAATGTCATGGCAGGAGATGTCAAGGCCAGAAGCGCTCCCTTCTAGGCTGGGGGTTTGGTTCAGTCAACAAGGGGTTGTTTGCTCAGCTTTATCGGAGACCTCCAAGGCTCCATAAAGCCTAGAGTTCAGCTCTCCACCCTGAGAAGGCAGAGATCAAGGGTCTCTTTGAGGATCAATTGCTCAGAGCACAGAGGGGCTCATATAGGCGGTGTGGAATTAAACAGAAAACACGGCCAGTGTCTGCCATCCTGTGTGTCTGCCATCCTGTCCTGGACCCCTGACTCCCCCACACTCAATTCCAATGAGTCCTCAGACCTGACAGCAAAGGCTCGCTAATATGAAGTAACAGAGCTGGGAAATGCCACCAGAGGCCACGGCTTTGACGTGCACTCTCTGAAAGACTAGGACAGGTTCTAAAGGAGCAATGCTAGAGATGGCCGGGTGTCCCTCCAGCCGGTGTCCCCCGATTCTCCCCGATAAGGATAGGAAAATGTCATCATTTTATACCATGTACATATTAATAATATGTTGTATGGTATACCCTCTGTATACATATGCAATATAATATGACACACTGTATATATAGTGATCTTTAAGATTTATTTTTTATTTAAGTGTGTGTGTGTGTGTGTGTGCGCGCACGCGCGCGCGCGCAAGCACGTGCATGCGCACACGTGCAAGCACACATGCATGGAGGTGGTCCCAGAGGCCAGAAGAGGCCATCAGCTCTCCTGGAGCTGGAGATAAGAGGCCACTGTGAAGGCAGGGAAAGGATACTGAGGAGTAAACTTTGGTCCGCTGAAAGATCAGCAAGTGCTCTTCATCACTGAGCCATCTCTCGAGCCCTTGTGTGTGTGGAATTTATGGGTGTGGGTATGTAATCTATGTGTATGTAATCTGTGGGTATGGGTGTGTATTCTATGTGTGTGAGTAATATATGGATGTGTATGTGTAATCAATGGGTATGTGTGTGTGTGTAATCTGTGTGTGTGTGTGTGTGTGTGTAATCTATGGGTGTGTACATGTAATCTATGGGTATGTGTGTGTAATCCATGTATGTGTATATAATCTATGTGTGTGTAATCTATGTGTGTGTAATCTGTGTG